CTGGAAATAAACAAATATATAATTATACTTTTTTGGTATTCATTAAAAATAGTCTACTTCACCACAAAACACAAGTAAAATTATAGCGTTCAAGCAGACTTTTGTTATTGTTTACTATGCTTATATGGAACATTAAAAAAAATTGTAAGCAGATCGTAAATATACCCTTCTGAATATATAATAATCCTATTAGTAAAACAAACAACTAAACTTTTTGCGTTTGCTGGAAACACCCTATGTAGCACACAACTTTTTATGTAAAAGAACTTTTAAATTTTAAACGAAAAAGTTGAATTGCCAAGAGCAGTAGGTGAAGTTGTGGTCACGCAAGGTACTTTACAAAAATGTTTTAAAATTTCATCATGTAAAGATAAATACCCAAATAGAGTTTGAATAACCGATTTAATTCTTACTGTTTCAGTTAATTTAAACATTACCCTAATATTATAAATGCGAATATGGGTTTGTTGGTTTGTTTATTACCATTTTACACAGTAACTACTCAACCGACCATCATGAAATTTTGTACACATACTGTTAGGGATGTAGTAAAGAAAGGGTAACTTTTATCCAGAGAAAAACATAATACTACCGAAGGTCAAAAAAATTAGTTTTGTGATCTTTGACACGTACTTACTTAGGAAATCAGCGGGTAGAACCTACTCTAAAAACAATTTATATTAAAAAAATTATATGAATGCGTTTAAATAAAAAAACAAACCCAGTAATTAAAGAAACTAGGATCATGATTTACGAGGGTGGATTGATAAGTTTCCGGCCTAACCAAGAGATGACGCCACTAGGCCTACCTTGAGGTGACATTCTATAGTACCATCCTTGGATAGCTTGTAGCTATAGTTTCAGCCCGATCTCCTTGCTAGTGTAGGTTTGACAGCACGCTGAACAAGACGCCTCTGTGGTTTTCGTAAAAATGGAAAAGCAGGAAAATCGTGCTGTCATCAAATACTTTTATTTGAAGGGGTTAACGCCGAAGGAAATTAAAAAAGAGATGGACTCAACACTGGGGACATCCTCCCCGTCATATTCAACCGTTAAGCAGTGGGTTTCCGAGTTTAAAAAGGGTCGTGTGAGCACCTCTGATGGGCCTCGCTCAGGACGCCCCGTTGAGGTCACAACTCCAGATATGATCGAAAAAATTCATCAAATAGTGCTGGGAGACCGCAGATTGAAAGTGCGTGAGATAGCTGAGACCTGTAAGATGTCATATGAACGTGTGCAACATATTTTGCACCAACATTTGCATATGGAAAAGCTCTGTGCAAGATGGGTGCCGCGTTTGCTAACAGTCGACCAAAAATTGATTCGAAAAAACATTTCTACCGCAAATTTGTCATTGTATAAGCGTAATCCAAGCGAATTTTTGCGTCGATTCGTAACCGTTGACGAAACGTGGGTCCACCACTACACTCCTGAAACCAAAGAACAGTCTAAACAGTGGATTGGACCAGGGGAACCAACTCCAAAGAAGGCAAAAACAATTTTTTCGGCGAACAAGGTTATGGCTACTGTTTTTTGGGATGCAAGAGGTATTATATACATTGATTACCTTGCAAAGGGTAATACTATCACTGGTCAATACTACGCAGACTTATTGCAACGTTTGAGCCACGAGGTGAAAATTAAACGACCTCATCTGGCGAAGAAAAAAATCTTGTTTCATCACGATAACGCACCAGCGCACACGTCAATCGTTGCGACGGCTAAAATCAACGATCTAAAGTTTGAATTGATGCCGCACCCTCCTTACTCTCCAGACCTAGCCCCGAGTGACTATTTTCTGTTCCCTAATCTCAAAAAATGGCTTGGCGGTAAGAGATTTGCGGACAATGAAGAAGTAATCGAAGCTGTAAATGGTTATTTTGAGGAGCTTGACGAATCAGTCTATAGAGATGGCATTAATAGACTGGAACACCGCTATGAGAAATGTATCAGCCTTGGAGGAGATTATGTTGAGAAATAAAAAAAAAAAATTTTTAAAAACCTTGTTTTTCTTGGTCAGGCCGGAAACTTATCAATCCACCCTCGTAAAAGGATAAAAAGAAATTCAAATATCAATATTATATAAAGCTACAAATTTTTATCAAAACATAGACGATAGTTACCATAAATTTGTTTTTCAGTAATAGTTAGTTATTTTTGTAACTATTAATCAATAGTTATTGTAGAGATCAATAAACATTAAAGTTGTATTTTTGCTCACCTTGCGATGTCGCCCACTGCTGTATATCTTCGTATCTCGTGTATGTGGCATCGGAAGCTTCGGTACACATGTCGCTTATATGCGGGGAAATAATCGACGATCGCCCCAAATCGACACTGTAGGTCATGGTGTAGTTTTGGCGTCCGCGATCTTCTTCAGGAGTACGAATTGTTCCTGGATTCTTTTGTCTTAACTTTGACATTGCGTCCGATGATATAAACGCGTCCCTGGTTGTGTGAAAAATGAAACACATCACCTGATATTGGCTCTGACCTCTCTCCTCTTCACCCAAAACTAGAGCTTTGAGGATTTGGACCTCCTGGAAGGAAAACGAGAATTGTTAAAAGCTCTATTCGTTATTAAAATCGAAAAATTAAAAACTGTAAACTAAAACTATATTTTAACTAACATTAACTATCTTCCGTAATTACGGAAGTAGAAGCAGGGGTCTGATGCAACACTACAACCTATGTATCACTCTTCTATCTGTGCATTTCATTCCTACATTTTTAAGAATATTTAACATCTTGTCCCATTTAACATTGTCAGAAGTCTTTTCATGGAAAGTTGAGCTAATTGTACTAGGTATATGTATCGCATTATCCCCGTCTCTCTTTTTGACACGGCTACTAATACGTTCCGTTTATAGTCCTTCGGGACTCCTCATTTCGTTAATGTGACTAACTAGTCTATACCTACATACGATTTCAGTCCTCTTGTCCTGCATGTTTTGTGATTCCTGCCTGTATCCAATCAATATCAGGTGCCTTATTCTTCTTTAAGATTTTTAATGCTAAATCAAAGTTTTCTCTCATTATGAGGTAACATAGCTTACCCATCTCCACTATTTTCCTTCTCTAAAATATTTTTTTTTTCGCCTGCGTATAAATAATATATAATATTCTTTTCACCTATTTGCCTCTTCCTTATTTTGTATTAAAATGATCCCTGCCCCGTTTCTTATATTATTACCACAGTACCCTACTTCCCTAAAATTCCTAACTGTGTAAAATAGGGCTAAAAGTATTTTTATTAGTAAAAACTATACTCCGTTTAGTAACAGGTATAACCATAGAAGGCTTTTTTACGGTTCGGTTTTGAGGCCAATAGTCTATATAGTCAATTCGATAGTGAGGCTTCTGGTTAAGATACATATTAATGAAATGTAAATGCATTATTTTTAACAGCACTATTGTAAATATTTAACGAGCACAATTGTTATTACTTGCGTGATATTCGTGTAAAAGAAAACAGGAATTTTAATTTGCAGAGGAGTATTGTGTGCAATTAGGGGTGGCTAAGCATTTCTGCAATCAAAGTCTGGCAATAATTCAGTTAAATGAAAAGACATTGCGAAGCACTAACACCACTAATGGTTTCAATTCAGCCGGCGTTTCCGCAAAATAGTTGCCAGTTGAAATAGCCGTGCACCTTGAAAGGCAATCTATGCTGGATCGGCGGAATGGTAGGCATTAAACGTTCCGTTGCAGCAGTTTAATGGCTTACAACACAAATTGTTTCGTGGAGAATCAGATGTTGTGGGCGATCATTGTGACCGCATTATATATACATATATATATACCTACCTAGGCACTATAGAAATACGAAAGAACTAAAACAGATTTCGCACGAACACGAATTCATTAGCCATTCTGTTACCGACACGTAACTCTGAAGCCACTTGCACCCGTTTCTATTAATGTTAATTATAAAATATATAGATTCATTATAAAGGTGTATGTTTGGAGCACGGCGCTGTACGGGTGCGAAACATGGACAGTGGGCGCGGCGGAAAAGAAAAGGTTAGAAACGTTCGAAATGTGGTGTTACAGGCGAATGATGAGGATACCGTGGATAGAGAAAGTCAGAAATGAATAGGTATTAGAAAGAATAGGAGAACAAAGGACTCTATGGAAGTCAATAAGAAATAGACGAGATAGGTTGGTAGGACACTTTGTCAGGCGTGAAGCTCTAGCCAGAGACATATTAGAGGCAAAAACAGGAGTTAAGAGGAATAGAGTTAGAGTTAGATTAGGATGTTGTAGTTTTAGGGAAATGCGAAGATTAGCTCAGGATAGGAATGAGTAGAGGTGCGTGGCCAACCAGTCTTAGGACTGGCGACCTTATGATGATGATGAGATTCATAATGATCTCGCTCTACTTAATAGAAGATTTTCGATTTAGCCTTACATAACAGTGAACAGTTTTTATAACAAACAATAATGTTAAATAATTAAAGTCTGACATCTGACAACTGACGTCTTTTTAATAATATTCGTTCTACTATTAACCTCAAATATCTATAGAGGGCGACAAATTGTCACTTTTTTGATATATTTGGTCATCTTGTTATATAGTTTTCAGCAACTTTTAGTTTCGTTAGTAGTTTTATCAGACCTGGATATGCTGTCATGATGAGAAATAATAAGTTTCAATAACTATCAACCTGTCGTGGTTTTGACAAATTATTGACCATGAGCTTTTAAGCTCTTGTAGAAGAAATTAAAGCAATTATGGGATGAAAGGTTTTTAATTTACTTTAAGTACATGATTGTGTGTTAAGCAATTAAAAACCTTTCACCCCGGAATTGCTTGAATTTCTTACATACATGTAACTAATGTTAAGGCATTACGTTCATGCATAATGCATAATTCGGTGAGAGTTTGGAATATTTCAACCTAGCCTTTTTGAAAATATCATTTGCCTCTCTCAAAAGTGCCCCAAACTAACCGAACTCTCCAAATCTTTTGATCAAAGCGTAACACCCTCAAAATTGCATTTAGTGGACTTGCACTGCTTTACTAATGTGAAAAAATAACTGAATGGATTTGTACGAACTTTCGTACATCATGTCGCATTTTTGAAAAGATGAAACCACCCCTTCATATAATCCAAAACATTCAGATTTGGAACTCCGGGTAACTAATTAGAAAAAAATACATAGGTAGTTAATATGCTCCTGTAGTCCTAGTGAGTATTTGGATACGAAACATTGAAAATATTTCAAGACACAACGATGCATTTCTCAAAGACGTTAGATGAAAATATTAGATAACAGAAAATGGATACGATTCAGATACATAGACAATATCGATTTTATAACCTGTCGTGTTCAGGTTAACAAATAATTTCGATATCTTCAATCACATGTCAACTTGTACATGTATTGGGTAATAACGGTATATAGCTATTTACTTAACAGCAATTCAGAAATAGCGTTTACGTAGGCCGCAGGAACATGTAATATATCCACATATGTATCTATCTCGGTATTCTACGTTCATTAAAAAAGAGCGCAGGACGATAGATAATAACATAATATGTATCTCAGTGAAATTTGTGTGCAAAAAGTTCGAGTTGATTAGTTGTTATCAATGAACTACATGTAGGATATGATATAAGGCAGACGCGGGGAATCTTTTATATATACATTACATTTCCGACTTGTGAAATTATAGTTTTTGTTTAGTTCATTTAGTATCAATTCGAGATGATTTAAAAACTACAAGTTNGGTAGATACTAAAAAAGATTATAATCCGTTGTTTATTCTAATTTAAATTATTACTTCGCAAATGGGTGAAATTTCCGGTAATACCTCTATTTATTTAACCCTCTATTTTGGCGATCATAAATTATACATTCCATTTATTTCAATGACGTGTACAAATAAAGTGCGTATTTTGAACACTGCAAATGTCATTTTTAATACTGCGAAAGCTGACGAACAGTAAATGCGATTAGCGATTCACAACGTCGAAAATGTGAAATTGGGAACATATTTTACTAGTCCTGTATTTGACGTAGGTATAAAAGCAAACACTGTTTGTATGTCTATCAGTAGGTAGATTGATTGTACACGAGAATAATAAATAATGCAGAGGCTTTTCCAGAATGTAAACAGGCTGTGACAAGTTTCACTCGTTCATTAGAAAATAAAAAAAAACTGATTTTCATCAACCAAAGAAGTGGACATTACTGAAAGTACCTAATAGTCATTCTTCAAACCTACGGGAATTATTGATTGCGTAAGCTATTACCACTTGTTTGTACTTAAACGAAGTTCGTTACATTATGTGGATACTTTTAGGAATATTAACATAAGGAAAAATAATTTTACTGTACAGGATAATTAGAAGAATCGAAAATTACACTAAAATATAAATATTTTTTTTATCAATGAACTACATGTAGGATATGATATAAGGCAGACGCGGGGAATCTTTTATATATACATTACATTTCCGACTTGTAAATTATAGTTTTTGTTTAGTTCATTTAGTATCAATTCGAGATGATTTAAAAACTACAAGTTATGAAAGACCAAAAATGCTGCATCGTTGTAATTATTGTTATGCTTAACAAATGGCCTAATCTAATTACGTTAATTAAACTATAACATAATTAATACAAGGACCAGCTTTGGTATAGGGCGATGTAGTATCAGTTAAAGATTTCAAATCACATACTATATCTCATTAATTTTCAAAATTAGCAACATAACCATCAGAACGGCGATACTTAAAAGTTAGTTTTCATATCATATCTAAAATTTCTCTTAAATTCTGATACTTCTGGTAAAAATCGATGACATTACAACAGTGGTGACTTCAAAACCGATATTTTCCGAAAATATATTTTCTTATTTTAATCGATGCAGAACAATTTATTTTATAATGTATTGTGTTTCTAAGGGCTCTAAATAAATGCAAATGCATTAGTAACCAGAAGAAGAGTAGAACGAAAACAAGGCTAATTGAATTTTTGAGACGTGATACGAAACCATAAAAGTGTTCTCCGAAAAACCAAAGAAGTGCCGGGTGTGGGGATTAAAATACGCAGAAAACATGAAAGGGCGATGCTGCAGGAAAATTACTTAATATAGAGATCATTCGAGGAGTAACAGCGGGTAAAAGGGCCTATTTTTTCTTCCTTATAGTCCATCATACTTCAAAATAAACTGAAATTACCTCTCGGTTTCAAATCGATTTTGCCTCAAAATAGGAACTTTATGGTAAATAACAACATCTACTCGGTTATATAATAATATGAAAATCATAAAATATAAGCATGCATGCATCATATCATGAATTTCAAAGGAAATTATTTCCTAATCGGCCAAAGTCTAAGTATCTATAATATTTACCCAATTATATAATAAAAAGTGAAATTTAAAAATAATAAAAAAATAAGTACCTAGGTACCCTATATCACGAACTTCATAAAAAATTATTAGTAGCAGTTTTTATTTTAACATAAAGTTATTTTTACATTTTTTACATCTTTAATATCATATCCATATTAACTTATCTTTTCTACC